TGCTCCCACCGGGCACAGAGCATCCCCGGCCCCCTGAGCCACCCCCGCAGGGCTGTCACTGCTGCCCCGGCTGTGGGGACAGGACCGCCCCAGGCGTCCCTGTGCAGCGCCCGCCGGCGTCCCCGCTGGGGCTGGCCTTGGGGACGGCTCCCGCTCCCCTCCGCAGCACGCTGGGACATCCGCACCACCATGATGGGGACACGCAGGGACACCCTGCGCCAGCCGCGGTGACGGCAGTGCTGGGGGACCCCCCTCCGCTCCTTGCCAATGCTGCACCATTCCCGTGCTCCCGTCCCTTTCCCAGCCTTCAAGGACATCGGCCGGGTCGAACCGAAACCGCTCCTCCCGTGCCCGCTCCAGCACCTCCTGCACCACCTTCCCTAGGGCACTGGGCTGGCTGGTGGGCACGGTGGGCACCCGGCCTGTCCCCCGCGGGCTGTCCTCGTCCCGCGGGGACGTGTAGAGGCACATGGTGGACACAGCCTTCTTCAGGCGCTCCACGGGCGAGAGGGTGCTGGGCTGGACGGGGGAGATGCGGATGTCGGGGATGTCGGGACAAGCCCAGGTGAGGCGGGAGGGGGAGATGCGCTGCACGGGGGTCCGCGAGACATAGGAGTAGAGGCAGAAGAAAGCATCGGCCGTGGCGGCCAGAGCCTGGACCTGCTGGAAGCGACCTGGGGGGAGCGGGAGGAGGTGGTGGAGGTCAGGGGGGCTGTGGGTAAGAGGTGCTCGGTGGAGCTCGGAGATGGGGCAGGGGGCTGCAATAGGGGCAGAGTGGGTTCCCCCAGCTCATGCATGGGGAAACTGAGGCACGGGAGCACCTTTCCCACCATGCCAGAGGAGCAAAGCCTGCATGGTGGATCCCACCCCATGTGTCAGTGTCTCCCCAGGCGGGGGGCTTGGGGACCCAGGTGTCACTCACTGGCCAGCATCAGGCAGGGGTCCTCCATCTCCATGCGCCGCACCTGGGCCTTGAGGAAGAGCTGGAAGTCGATGCCTTTGGCGCGGGAAGGAGCCGAGAAGAAGCGCGCAGGGATGCGGGCCACGGCCCCCGGCTCGCTCTGCACAAAGCCCAGGTTGTAGAGGATCTCCTCGGCGTCCGCCTGCCTCCACTCCAGGACCTCAGAGATGCTGCAGGGTGGGGGACAGCCCCGGCTCAGCCCCACGGGGACCCATCTCATGAGGGGGTGACCCAGTGTCCCCCCCAGAGACCCTCCCCAGCTCCTACCTGGAGCTGGTCTTGGTGGTGAGGCTGGAGAGGGCACTGGACGCCATGCTGTGCCCCAGGTTAAGGTGCTTGTCCTGCAGAGCTCTGCGGCGGGGAGGGGGCCGGGGCTGAGCGCAGGGGATGCTGCCAGCGGGGTGCACAGGGGCGGTGCCCCCAGCCCCCCCCAGCCTCCCCCGGGATCCCAAACCTCACCTGCCCATGGCCTTGTTGCTCCCCGGCAGCAGAAGAGCTGGGAAAAGGGAGCAAAGAGGTGACAGGGAGTGAGGTGGGGCATTTTGGGGACAGGTCCCACACTCGCCACCCTGGGAAGTGTCCTTCCCGGTGGCCACAGCCTGGAGCCCGGGGGGACGCAGAGTCTGGGGGCATCCCAGCCCCCCTAAAACCCTCCTGGAGGAAAAGCTACTGATGGTGGCTGTCCCCCTGGGTCTGCTCCTGACTGTCCCCAGCCCCTGTGCCTCCGTCGGGGCAGCTGTGCCTGTGGGGTGACAGTGACACCGCAGGAGGGGACATCCCAGTGTGCTCGGGGGTGGATGGTACCTTCAGCTCCCAGGGTCAGGTCGTCCTCGAAGCTGGTCCCAGCGCTCCCACACCCTGCAAGAGAGCAAAGCCTTGCGAGGCGCGGGGACGCCCGGAGCTGGGGACAGTGCCAGCCACCACGCAGCAGCGTTGGTCCTCAGGGACCTCCCTGCCCATCACCCCACGCCTCAGACACAGCCCATGGGCTGGGTGGGCTTTGGGGACGTGCAGGGACCCCCGGCCTCAGCACCCCAGGATCTGTGCAGGGGCAAAACCGACGTACCATAGTGGCCCAGCACGCCCAGCTCCTCCGGCGGGACCTCGACCGATGACCTGTGCCAGAGCAAAACCCCAGTTACAGCCCCCCCGTCCCCATCCCAGGGGCTGGAGGTGGGATGTGAGACCTGAGCGCAGTGGGACAGGCGGTGGGGACAGGGACTCAGGGACCCCAGACCCCTGGGAGACCCTGGAGACTCCCCGGTCACCCCGTGATGCCACCACCCTGCTCTCCCAGCCCGGCCGGGGGTTTCCTGGAGGCACCCGCGTGATGCCAGGCGTGGGACCAGCACCCCGCACTGGTGGCCCTGGCGTGTGGCAGAGCCATGGCCGGGTGCCACCTGCGCGTCCTGCGCGGGGGCGAGGAGGGAGCCGGGGGGGAACACACAACAGACACCGCCGTCCCGCTGGCACCCACGCACCCGCTTGGGTGCAACTTCCAGGAAGGGCCAAGCGTGGGCAGCGTCCCACTGCCCTCGCCACCTCTGCGGTGACACCGAAATCCCCGTGGGAACGGCACCGTGGCAGAGGCACCCCTGGAGCTGCCCCCGCCTGTCCCCCGGCTCACCCGCACTCCTGCAGCCACGTCTCTATCTTGCTGGAGGGGCTCCCTGGGGGAGACAGAAACACCCGTGAGATGAGCCAGCACACGGGGACCCCCGTCCCATGTTCACCCCAGGGTTCCCCTGACCTTCGAGGAAGACATCGTCCAGGTGGGGTGGCTGCAGCTCGGGGACGTCCTGCATGGCGGCGGCCGCCTCCTCCTCCACCACGGTGGTCCGCCAGCACCGGCTCTGCCTGGCCCACGCTCGCCGCTTCTCCCATGAGGAGGGGCTGAGCACCGACGCGCCCTCCATGGCCGCAGCGCCGGGCGGGCCGGGGGTCTCCCTGCAGGGACCGGAGAGCTGTGATGATGGGGGGGGTCTCCTCCACCTCCTGCCCGTGGGGTGGGACCATCGGGTGCTCTGGGTATCCCAGGGATGCTCTGCTCCTGCCCGGGCATTGCCTTGGGTGCTGATGGGCACCCAAGACAGGGACGGAGCTGCCGGAGCAAACGGAAGAGCTGCCAGGGCCGAGATAAGGCAGGCCGGGCTGCACCATGGCTGGGGATGCTCCGGGGCAGATGATGCAGATCTCCAGAGCCTGGACCTCCCCTGCTGGGGAACGGGTGTCTCTCCCCCCAGCTCCCGTAGGAAGGTGATTTCCAGTCCTGTCCCCTCCCTGTCCTACGGCCCCTGAGCAAAGTGGGGGACCTGTCCCCAGGGAGTCCCCTGTTCCCAAAGGACCTGAAGGTCCAGGCTCCCGGCACCCAGCTGCATGGCACCCACTGGGGACACCTGGTCCCTCGTCCTCTGCCCTCCCCAGCACAGGTCCTGGCTGGGGACAAGGACCCCCCAGGCCAGGCAGACCCCCGCAGCACCCCTCCAGCCACAGGGGACGGGGTTCTCGAGCCACCCGCCTGCTCCGGCCACGCATCCCCAAGGCTGAGCGCTGCCAGCGCAGGAGCATCCTGGCCCAGCCATCTCCCGCAGCACCAGCATCCCGGTCCAGCCGTCACCAGCTGCGCCGGTGGGAAGGGAAATGCTTTGCAGAGCCACCACGGTGCTGGCCCCTCACACCCAAGGCAGCGCGGTTCATCCCCCACCCCGTGGTGCCGTGCCGCAGCCACGCCGAAAGTCCCCGGCGGAGGGAGGGCACCTTTGTCGCCATTTCCCCATTTCATCTCTTGCCGGGCAGGGCGTGGGACAGGGTGAAGGCCCGGGCAGGACCCGGCAGCACCCGCCTGGGCCACCCCGGGCCCCCGTGGTGCTCAGGGCTGGGACGTCAGCTCCGGGCACCAGGATGGGGGGGCTGGGGGTGGTCAGGGAGCAGCGGCCTCATAGCCGAGCTCTTCATCGAGGCCACATCCAGCTCACCCAGGGCACGTGGCCAGGCGCTGGCCCCATCCCAGCCCCTCGGGAGCCGCAGACCCAGGAGATGCTGCGAGCGCCCCGTGTGAGCATTCCCGGCTCCCGAGCCCCCCGGGCTGACCCGGTCCCAGGGGCAAAGGGGCTTTGCAGAGCCCAGCGCGGGGCCATGGCACACGGGACCGTGCATGGGGGGACTGAGCCAGGGCTTGTTTGTCCCACAGCATCCCGGAGCATCCCAGCCCCAGCCCCTGCTGCCCCCAGCCCCGTACCCCTCGGCCCCTTCTGTTCCCACTCTGCTCCCCATCCCTTTGCTGCCACAAAAGAGTTTTCCATTTGCTCCGGGTATGGGAATCGCCTCTCCCAGAAGCCCGGAGTTCCCATCGCCCCCATGGCCCCATCTCCTCCCACCCAAACCCAGGTTCATCCTCCTCCCACTCTTCTGCCCTCCATCCCAGGCCCCCCCTCGACCCCTGTGGCCCCTCCTGGGGTAAAACCACCCCCAAAGCCCTCTGCCTGGCTCCAGCACTCACCGGCACGGGGGGCAGCCGGGCAGCCCCGCCGAGCGCTGCCTATCTCCAGCGAGGGGCCATCAGCCGTGGCGTCCCGCCGCCCCACCGCCGTGCCCGGCCCCCGGCGGCATCTGTCGTCAGCAAGGAGGGAGGAAACTCATCTGTTTTGAAGAGGAAATTAAAAAAATCAACAGCGAAACCTCAAACGTTGACCCACATCCGCTACCACAACGGGAAAAACTTAATGAGCTGCCGACGTGGGCGTGGGTGGCTAATAATAGCCCGGGCAACAATCAAGCCACCCAGGTCGCCCTTGCCATGGGCAAGAGGGCACCCACCTTCTGGAGGGGTCCCCTACACCCAGCCTGCTCCCAGGGTGGCTGTGACACCCCGACGGGGGGTCCCGAGGCCCTGAGGTCTCCTCGGTGGCCGGTGCCAGGTCCCCAGACGGCACGAGGTGCCGCGTGGGCTTTGCACAGGGGACGCGAGGAGGAGGAGGGTGCTTTGCTTCGCACCCTGCAGCGCCTGGCTCCCTCCTGGCCGAGCATCCCAGGGTCCGGCATGCCGTGCCAAGCTGCCGATGCCACCACACTGATAAGGGAGCGCTGGACGAGTGTGCGGCACGCGTGGCTTATCACTGGCCAGCCAGGCGAGTCCAGCGCGGCCCCGATAACGGCACCAGCTCTGCCTGGGGGGGACGAGCCAGGCTGGGGTGGCTCTTGGGGTGATGGGTAAAGCCACCCCAGGCCCAAATGGGGAAAAGGGGGTGATGGAGGCGATTTCCCCACAGGTTATTTGCCAAGCCAGGACGGCATCTCCAATCCCACCCTCCAGCATCTCCTCCAGCACCGGGATGAGAGCACATGGTGACGAGGATGGCCCCAACATGAGGACAGCACTCACCTCCGGCTGGGACATCACAGCCACCGAGGTGACATCCTTGGGCTCTCCTCTGTGTCTCTGGGTCCTCTGGGAGCCGGGTTTCAGTGCTGATGGCAGCTGGGAGCCCAGGTGCTGCCCCGGTGCCAGCCATGGTCTCATCAAAAAAGGCAAGGAAGCTCCCAGCGCAGCGCTGGCCAGGAATGGCGCTGCCCGGGAATGGTGCTGCCTGCAGGAGGGACATTTTTAGCTGATGAGTGTTTGTGGATAAAGCCCTGAATTAGCTGCTCCTTCAGCCTGCCCGGGGTTTCGGGGGGGCCCGGATGACTCGGGAGTCGCTTCGCTTGGCACATCCCCTGCAAAGGATGGACACGTCCCCACTTGGCATCGCCCCTCGTTGCTCTGCTCCGGGGTGGGAGCGGGGAAACGGCCTCATTCTGCTCCCCGGTTGCATCCAGCACCCGCAACCCGGCAGGGATGCCTGGGGGGGCCACGGACCCCAGGGGCCAGGGGACATTTTGTTTCATGGTCGAGGGACCCAGGATGCCACCAGGGCCTGGATATTGATATTTCTGGCCCTGACAGCAGCCGGGGGGGCTCCCAGTTTATCCAGGATCCTGGGGCAAAACATTGCCCCCCCGTATGCCACATGCACGGCTCTTCTCAAGCCCACTCCCAGCATCGCCACACCGGCATCCGGACCCCGAGCAGGAGCTGGCCCGCAGTCCATCCTCCATCTCTCCCCATTATTCCCCTCTGCAAACGCCGTCACTGGGTGCCTGCACGGCTCTGAAGATGCTTTTCCCTGGCAGAAGCAGTCCCCGCCGCGGGGAGCCAGGATGGGGCCGTGGCTGGATCGAAGCCGGGAAGGATTTTCCCGTAAAAGCTCGGCGAGGAGTGAAATGGCTGTGGGCAGAGCAGAGGGGTGTGCAGGGATGGGTACCCCCATCGCTCACCAGCCACGGGGGTCCCTGGGGAGCAGGGGGACCCCAATCCAGGGGAGCGGGGACCCCGAAGGCAAAGCAGTTGGAGGAGCTCTGCCCCTGGGGGTGGAGAACAGGGTTGGCAGCCACAAGGAGCATCCCTGGGGGAGAGACCCAGGACCAGGCAGGATTAAACCGTGGGAGCAGGGTCGTCAAGCGCAGCCAGCGGAGCGGGGGGCCAGGGGGCCGCTGCTGTGGAGGGCTGAGGGGGGCACGGCGGCACCGAGCGGCTCCTCAGCGAGTGCTTTTTGTATCAATAATTAACGGCGGCTGCATCACGTCGGAGCAGGACACCAGGACACGGCCGTGGGGAGCCACCGGGATGGGGGGTCATGCGGGGGTTTGGGTGGTCCCGCTGCCTTGTCACCCCCGGGGCCAGGCCGGGGAGCACCCTTCTCCGTCCAGCAGCACCAGCACCTTTGCCTGGACCCCCAGCACCCTGCAGCCACACGCTGCCAGCAGCATCCCCTTCCCACGCTGCTCCGGCCCCGCCATGGGGACCCCCCCCCTGCCAGGGGATCAG